AGCCAGCTCTAAGCTGCAAACGAAGAGAGGAAGAGGAACAAACAGGTTGGGAGGGTCCAGCCAGGGTGGTGGGGCCGGGACGAGGAGGAGGAGGAGGAGGAGGAGAGGGAGGGAGAGCAACCACGAAAGGTCAGGATTAGATCGGTGGACGAGGGGGACAGACGAGAGGGGAGGGAGGGGGGAGGGCAGAGAGAGAGAGAAAAAAAGGGAAAATGAGGGTCAAAGGAGGAACATGTTATGTGTTAAAGAAGAGAAATAACAAAAGGGTTTTTCATGATTTGATGGCGAAAACGTTTCTGAGGAGACTCTGGAGTTCTTTCCAACGTAAACAAAAACTAAAAAGAAAGGAAAAGAGGTCAGGGGAGGGTTGCTAGTTCATTTTAGGTATGAAAAAAGAAATCTAAGGAATGCAGGTAATGGCAAAAAGATGGGAAAAAACGAAACTTAAAAGAAAACTTAAAATGACAATGAGGTTTACTCCCCAGCACTGAAATGGTGAATTTCGCTTTTCAAAATGATGGTATTTTTGAAAGGGGGACGCGGGGGGTTTTGGTCATTTTTTCAAGTTGTCAATTTTGCGACATAAGCAGTACCCTTGGTCAGTGCACTAGGATGAGAGGAGACTGAGCAATGATTTGCTGCTTCCGTCTAAGGCATAAAGTTTTGGGTTGTTTTTTTGTTTGTTTTTTTAACGAAATTATTTTTTTATTTCTTTCACTGCGAGGTCAATGTGCCTTTTTCATATAAAACCAGCCTGGTTAGCCAGTGTGTTCACTTCGGTTTGTACTTTCCCCACACTTATTTTTTTTTTTAAAAAAAACAACATATTCATGCAATCCAATTCTAAGGAAACTAGTAAAAAGAAAGACTGACAATCACCCCGGGCTCCACAGCAGCGGTATCCTTCCTGAGCTTGTGGCAGCGGTTACAGTGAGCGTAAAAGAGGTTACCGGCTGACAGGCACGGTGCTACACGGACACCACACGCACAGCGCCCGACGGACCCCGCCAGCACGAGAAAGCTCACGCTGACCCGAGCTCCGAGCCATGCGGCAGTGGCGGGCTCTTTGGAGGCTGGAGGCATCAAACCACCTTCGCTTTGGCGTCTGACTGCACCCAGTGGGCAGGCAAGATGAATTTGGCCCATGCACGTAGGCTTGTCTGTACATTTTTACACATTTAAATACAGTCATTCCAAAGACGCGTGGGGTTTTTTTTTCAGATGACAGAGTGTTTACCTACATAAATCCTCCCTTTGCTGCATGTTTCCTGCAGCTTGTGCACAGGCTTTTGGGTCAACGAACAACCTAAATACTAATTTCAGGATGCGTTTTGTGTGTGGCTGGCTGGGAGGTACGGCAGCCTAGCACATAAACAGCACTATGGGTTAGAAAATTTTTGCTAGCTACAGTTATACATGGATTAATTCCAAGTTTCAGGGTTTTCTTTGGTACCTACTAACTTGCCAGGCTCCTGGGCTTTCTCCTGAGGTGAGCTGAGGAGCTGCAGTAGCTTCTCCCTGCAAGAGCGCACCCCCAGCGAGCGGCTGGCCGGACGGGCAGAGGACCTGAATGGAGGAGGACCTGTCGCTCTCCTGTCAAGCCCCGTCAGCCCTGGGGGAAGCTTCCCAGCCCAGGGACCGTGCTGGTCCCCGTCGGCGGCAGGGGCTAGGCACGCAGGGTCAGAGAGCAGCTGCGGCCAGGCTGCAGGTTGGGAGGGGAGCGTGGCCATCCTGACCAGGGCTTGGGCAAGCATCGCTTCTCCTCGCCTCAGACTTGGCTGCGGCTTTGAGAGTAGTGGCCCCCCGTCTGTTCACGGCCAGAGAAAGGCAACGGCTGCAAGGCCTGCTCACTTCGTGCAAGGGCGAGGATGCAAGCAACAGCCAGCTGAACAAGAGCCAGCATTGTGCCCAGGTGGCCAAGGAGGCCAACGGCATCCTGGCTTGTCTCAGGAATGGTGTGGCCAGCAGGAGCAGGGAGG